GATGAAACCAAATACGTTCGAAAGTGGCGCTCCCTTGGACGCCACGGCAGCACAGTAGCGATCAATATTTTTGGCGACCAACTTCTTGTTAAAAAACAACAGCGATCCCCACCGAGCGTACAATTCGTTGACGAGGTGTAAAAAGATGTCGCACAGAGAGGAGCGTGATCGGCCAAAGGTCTTTGTCATGGTGTGGAACCGCACAGGAAACGCCAAACGGCCCAACAACACACACATGGCCTCTTCTCGGTGTACGCGTACGCGTTTGGGTGTGATGATGACAGCAGGTAAACCCAGAACAAAACCCAACTCCTTCACACCAGCGATGTCAAAGCGATAGTCGAGGATGGCAGTGGCATTCGTTGTTGCGTCGAGGTTGAAGCGAATGGCTGGAATGAGTGGTCTTTCGATGACATATGCAGCGATCAGTGCATGTAGGGTGGCTCGTTGACGCGCTGTCTTGGCAAAGGGGGCAAGCTCCATGAGGTTACGCTGTGTGATTGACATGGTCGCAATGTGGCGACACCAACACCCAACGAATATATCCGAATAACTTCTTTAACCGGAGGCAGTGCAATGACACGGATGAGGATAAGTTGCGAAACGTAAATTATTTTGTCATTATCATTGTCCTGAAAACGATATTTGTCGAGATTGTGATGATGAGGGTAATGTAAAGATGAGTTGCGAAACCTCTCTATTGTAACTAAAGGATACGGTTGCAATGAACGACTGACTGTTCGCCCTTGACAATGGGATGTCCTCCTGGTTCTGCTACGAGCGCACAGGGTTGGTATTCATTAACTAGTACTAGTAGCAACTAGTAGTAATAGTGACCCTGACACCAGATCTTAATCGAGATTGGTGACAACACCGACTCCGACGTCACGCGATCCTTCTTGGATGGTAAACGTGGTGGATGTGGGCGTCAGCTCCACGCCTTCGATCAGGGTCACATTCACTTTGCTCGAGTCATCAAGCATGATCATGTCGACTCCTTCCAGGAGCTCGATGGTGCCGATGAAGCCAGGTTCAGTTCAGTTGAACATATCGGAGTTTACCATTCCATGTTAACCTACAGCAAGTACTTATAAGAGCACCCGCGTTGGAGAGGCTCTAACACTGTCTTTTGACCCTCATTACTGATCGCGGTAACATTAACGTTTGTTTAACAAGGTGACCATTTTTATTGTTAGTTTATCCTACTACGTACTATAGTTCACTCGTTGAAGTTGCGCATTGTATTAATACGTACAGTACTATTAATATTAATAGTACTACGTAGTACTCATTTGCGATCTTTTGTGCTTGTTTTGTCATCTTTGAATTGCCTCCTTCAAGCCCACCCCATCATGGCATTGCGCATCTGTACCATCGGCCATGCCGACCACGGGAAAACCACGTTGTCGTCTGCCCTGGCCCAAGGACACAATAGCTCAGTGGCTACCCTGGACAAGAGCGGCCTCTCCTTTGAGGCGACTCGCTTCCAGTACGAAACCGCCACCCGCCAGTACGACCACGTCGACTTCGCAGCGCACAACGACACCATCAAGTACTTTGTGACGAAAGGACCCGAACTCGATGCGGTGATCCTGGTGGTGTCGGCGACGGAAGGCCCGATGCCGCAGACCCGCGAACAAGTCCTCTTGGCGAGCCAAGTAGGTGTGCCGTCGCTCATCGTGCTGCTGAACAAGACTGACCTGGTCGACGACGATGAACAACTGGAGCTGGTGGAGATGGAAGTACGCGAACTCGTGAGCCAATATGGGTTCCCTGGGGACGACCTCCCCGTCGTTCGCGGGTCGGCGCTTAAGGCCGTCGAAGGCACCGACAAGGAGACCGTGGCCGCGCTACTCCGACATCTCGATGCCCTTCCTCAAGGCAACAACGCGCGCAACCATTCGGGCAAACTTGCAGTGCATGTATGCTTCCATGATGCTCGGATGGATGTCTCACTTGATGTGTCCTAGTTTGAATCGCTAGTGTACATCCGAACCAAGGAAGAAGGCGGGCGCCACACCCCGTTCTTCAAAGGCTACCGACCCTTGTTTAACTTCTCAGGAAAGGCGGTCATCGGCACTATGGAACTCCCGGAAGGAGTCGACATGATCATGCCTGGTAACTCGACCAAGATGAACGTGACTCTCATCGAAGGCGTGGAGCTGACGCCCACATCCACCACGTTTACCATCCAAGAAGGATCGCTTGACGTCGGAGTCGGCGTTGTCACCAATCTCGATTAAGATCTGGTGTCAGGGTTACTATTCCTACTATAGTAGTACTAGATAATGAACACCAACCCTAACTTGACAAACCGATCACATTAAGTGCACTATTATGATCGATATCATTTCATTTCATTGCATCCAGATGAGAAGACGTATGAATACGAAGGACGGAGTGTACCTCGTGTTGGATGGGCTCATTGGGACTACCCACGACCGCATCTTGTACACGTACATGTACCAGCAAGGCTGGGAACCTCTGTACTCCATTTTGGCCGAGATCCACAAGTACACTACGTTGCCTACGCGCACCGAGCGTCAAACCCATGTATGAGTGTATTGTAGCTCCTACTCCGATATCGTTGCTTACTGCATGTGTTGTGATCTACCGGTAGGCGGAATACATGGTGGAAACCTTCCTCGTCCATCCCGATGCCGTCGTGGTGGCGCATCTACACCTCACGGACGACGAATGCTTCCAATCCGTGGTCCAGTCGGTCGTCGATGCGGTCGCGGACAAGACATGCACGTTGGACATGTGGAGCTCGTTGGACGGTCGGTTGAAGCGAGCGTTGGATTGGAGTGGGTTTTTCAAATCCGACATGTTTGGGGACCTCTGCAACGCGATCCGCGAGCGGCACCCCATGACCCTGCACGATGTCCTCGGCGACTGCGACGCCACGCGCATCCGGTACCTGGAGCTGTACTTGCGCGAGTTCCACCACCCCGGGGGCGTGAGCAACCTCCTCTTCTGGGTCGACGTCCAAACAACGTTCCTTCCCCTCGTCACCACGCAACCGGCCTCGTCGTCGTCGTCCTTCTCCATGGCGCGCTTCGAGGAGATCCAAGTGACCGTGCGCCGCCTCTTTAACGCGTACCTGGCAGACAATCCGAGCGGCGGGACGGCCACCGCGGTCCCCGACGACACCAAGAAGGACGTACTGGCGCGCATCTTGCTCTACCAGGGCGAGCCGTTCTCTCCGCCGCGGTATGCGACACTGTTCAAAGCCGCGCAGGACCACGTGTGGCGGTGGCTGGCGTCCAAGATCATGCCCAACTTCCAAAACTCCATGCTGTACATCCAGTGGATGGTCGAAGTCGAGCGGGTGCTGGCGGACCGGCACCTCCACCGCGCCTACGAATCCGTCGCCTCTCCATCTTCGCCTCACAAACCCCTCAAAGGCACCCTCGTCCTCCCCCTTCCTTACGCCTCCAACCGACTCCCATCATCTTCCAAGCCTCATCCAGACCCCCCCCTTCGCCCAACATTCGCCAACACGTTCACAAGCCCCCTCCCACCGTCATTAGAGCATGTGCTGACGTTCTCCATCGCGCCACAGACCGACGGCTGCGGCGCCTTTGCCGCGTCGATCCATGACACTCCTGTGCACTTGGAGTGGCATGCCAGCTGGAGTCGGGAGGTTGGACCCCCTCCCATAGATGATGTGCAGGTAGGTACCCCCCCCATCTCGTCCACCATCTGGTATGTTGAGTCCTTTACGTAGTCGTACTGTGTGGATTCTCGTCAGCCCCTCGTCGTAGGCGCTGCCTCTTCCACCTCCACGCATGGCTTTCTGCTGCACGATTCCGCCGCCGCCATGGACCTCCATGGCGTATGTGTGACACAGTGGGCGCCTCTTCAGTCCGACCCGACTGGACCTACGGTGTACCTACCAACCATCACAGCGTTCCTCGCTCGGTCGTCGCTGTGGCACCTGCGAGCCGACTTGGTAACTGCTGCCAGTGAGGTTCACGCCCAGTCCCAGGTACAATTCAGTTGAAGTACCCGTGTTAAGGCTAGTTTGAGGCCGACTGGACGGCAGACACGTGGCAGCGTGTTGTGGCGGCAGTCGCCCAGCCGAGTCGGCTGTACGAGCTCACGCCGCGCTTCCGCGCTTTTACGGGCATGAGGCAGTGGGGATCGGAATTTGGAGGTCTGCGGCGACTCGTGGCGCATCTCCACCTTCAAGTACATCAGAATGTCCTTATACTGTACTACTACATGGTGGTAGAACGTCGTCGCAGCGGCCACGGCGCTCCTCGTCGGCCATCGCGTGTATGTGATCGCATCGAGTCGAAACGTGCTGTACGAGTCCACGGAAGCGCTTGTAGCTGTGTTGACTCCATTGAAATGGCCGGTAGAATGTCCAGCATGTCGGCATCCTGTGAGTGGGTTGATGTATAGTACACGTACGTCCCGTACTGCTGCTCCATGCCGCCGACCAAGACGGAGTTCCATCAGCATTCTCCCTTTTGCATTGGCGTGGAAGGATCGATTCAGATCAAGCGGTCGCCGCAGGACGCCGCGACACACCACATTCGTACATGCATTGGACCTTCCAGAAGAGACATCGGATTGAAGATGTATGTAGGAAGCAGCCTGTGCAACCTCACGCGCGTGCATGCAGTGGTCCGCGACGTCCGCGGCGTGTGCTCCGCCGATGCCGTGGCGCGCGCGGTGCTTGTAGACTTGGATCATGACGAAGTGTATGTCCCGATCAAGCAAGAGTTGCCGGAACCCCCGCGTAGGATTGTCATGTTGATGAGAGAACGGGGGACTGATTGATGGGAGGAGGGTAGAGGGACTCGTGCGTGCGCTCGAGTTGGCGTGGCGCGGGGTGCTGCAGCCTCGCTTGGCAAAGGCAGACGAGTGCCGGTTCACCGGACCGACTCCTGTCCCCTCTGTGGACGACGGCGTGCTGGTTGAAGCCCATCACGACGAGGGACTGAAGACAAGCATGGCCGCGTTCCTGGAAGCCATGTTCGGTCGCGTCATGGACTTTGTTCGGTCATATCCAAATGATATTGATCTGGGACAACACAAACCCGCGATTCCGCTCCAAGGCGGCGACGGCGAGACGTGCACGTCCTTTGCAGTGTTTGACGTCGACGGATTCTTGGCCGCGTAAGTCCACAGCGATCGGCCCCTTCATGTATCTGATGAAACATGTCGCGTACGTAGACACATGGAGTTGGGATGCCGCGACTTCTTCCGCCAGGTCTTCGCCACGGAGGTACGTCACGTGCTCGAAGCGTCGGCGGGGGTTTGAGGAATGTGTAGATGTTTGGAAATTATTTGGAACGGCAGCTGCGGCGGTTTCAAAAGTAGCCAATAGAATCACGTTGAAGGAACCAATCAAATTGGGCAGTGTTGAGGTTAGCCAATAGAAGGCGTTTCCATAAATCAATGACGAGAATCCAATTGACCAATCAACGAGATGCGAAAACTCCTGCTTGAACGATCTTCTTTAAAAAGGATTGTCCGTCGACATGATGATGGCTTGCCAGTTGATGTCCCGCGGCATGGAGATCTTCACACCACTGCCGCTGCGGACGTTTGTCCCCACCGCCGTCCATATCCCTCACATGGAGACCAAACCCATCCACTTCTGCATCACCCTCCGCTGCGTCGACGATGGCATCTTCACGTTCTTGGTCCATTGCGAGCAATTCGCGTTCCGCAAGTACCTTCACTTGACGATCAAGATGGCACGAGCTCTGCTGCATCGCCTGCAAGCGTCTCCCGAGAAGCACGATGTCGGCCATCTCCATCTGCCCCATCCCATCTATGCCCGCCTGCTCGTCGGCCGGCGCGACACCGCCCAGCTTGTCCTTCGGCTACTCGAGATCGTGTTTGACAGCCCGCGCATCCTCGCCGACCCCATTCTCCATGACGCGTTTGGACTGACGGTTCCTGAAGCCGACACACTCTTGGAAATCACGTTCCTCATGCAGGTTTGGCGGCAGCGAGAAGCTCAGATCCGACATAAGGCGCTCCGCCGCGTGCGCGCGATCGTTCATGAGATGCACCGCCACGACTGGGAGTATGCGAGCATGATGTCGCGCCTCCTGCATCTCCGTCAAGCGTGCGACTGCAACCATCCCCTGCGGCTACCGCTTCTCGTGTATGGCCACGACATGGTAGGATATTACTTCCTTCCTCGACTTAATGACACAATCGACATTAGGAGTATCATGTTGTCTTGCCAAACTATGCTTTTCGTGTCCACCGACCTGGACATGTCGTTGGACCCGGTGGAAAACGGTACTTCTACCTCCACCCCCTTCCTAGTGACAACGGCGGCATGGTCCTCCTCGATCCGTCCGGAGGCTTCCCCCTCGCCAGCATCCACCTCGACGGCGACGGTGTCCGCATCCATCGAGCAGTGCCCACCTGCACCACCCACCGAGACGTGGCCGAGTCGCCGCTCGTCCATGTCCTCACTGCCACCCGCGACAAGACGTCTATCGCATTCGAGCAAGTCGCGCTTCCCGGACTAGCCTTCGGACTCACCGACCTCCGCGCGACCTACATGACGCAGGAGCACCACGAGTTCATCTTCACCGCCGTGGACACGACGGACTTTACCTTCTTTCTCGGGTCCGGCACTGCTGCCGCCCGACGTCACGGCGCGCCGGCCACGTACTCGTTTGTAGTTCACCCTGGCCACGACAACGTGCTGGTGATCGCCATGTCCATCGCTCTCACGCTATTGGGCGAACGTTGACAATGGATAATATTAGTATTATTCGTACTATTATTGCAACTTGTTACTGAGAATGTATGGTTCAAGGCCGACAGAACAAAAAAATAATATCTCAAATAGTATTCGTATTTAAATTTAGCCGGACATGTCGAAATTGCCCCGAAATTGCCCAGAATATCGCAAAAGTCGTCTTCGACGGCGGCGCCCATCTGGTGTGCGGACGCCTTGCGCTTCTGCTTGCGCATGGCCTTGGCTTTCCGCCGTGCGAGGAAGGCCGTGGGGATGTTGAGCGCGTCCTCCTTGAACTTGGGCCGGACCACGCCGCCCGTCTGCACGGACGCTGCGTCGTCGACCTCGTCGTCGTCCGACATGCCGAACTCGTCATCATCATCCGAGTCCATCCCGCCAAAAACGGACGCCGCCTTGGGCGGCTGGGTCACGGCCACGCTGCACACGGGTCCAATGTCCATGCCATCCTCATCCTCGTCGTCGTCGTCGCCTTGCATGTGTTCGGTCGGGTTCAACGCGGCCAGGTCAAAGTCGTCGCCAAACGATTGGACGATCGTGGCGCCGACGTCCAGCCGCGTGTCCTTGGCGGCAGGGGGCGGCGTGAAGAACGGGATCTTGCCGCGGTTCCAGTCCTGGAGGATGTTGCGCGCCACGGCCTTGCGGTCGGGGATGCCGCCTTTGGCGAGCTTGCCTTGTTTCTGCGCGAGGTGGACAAGGAACTCGATCGTGTCGTTAAAGGGAGGGACTCCGTACAGCGCCTGCAGCTGCGCCTTGGAGCATCGCTTGAGGATCACCTCGATGGCCGGGACGGGGTCGTTGAACGCTTCGGCGTTGACGCAGTTGCGCAAAATGAGCGCGTCCGAGTCTGTCGAGTCGAAAACGATGCCGGGGCAGTCGATGAGCTTGATCTTGTTGTCCAGATGGATCTCCTGGATGACTTTGGTGTGCCCGGCGGTGGAGGACACGCTCGCGGCCTTGGTGCGCTTGAGCGAGTTGATCACACTCGACTTGCCCACGTTCGGGTACCCAATCACCCCCACCGTGATGGACGTTTTGATGTTGTTGCTGCGGCAGTAGTTCTTGAGCAGCTGCATGAGGGGCTCGGTGCCCACGGCGCGGCTGCCGGCGATGACCTTGCCGTTGGTCTTCTCGCCCTTGCCGCCGCCGGACGAGATGTTCTTCTGGTCTTGGGTAGACGCTTTGAACGCGATCGTGGGGTAGAACGTGCGTAGGTGGGATAGCCACGGCTGCAGCACCTCCGGAGGCACGAGGTCGATCTTGTTTAGCACGAGCACGACCTTTTTACCCTTGGTACGCATCAAGTCCTCCATGTCCACGGTGCGGCATCCCATCGGGTCGCGCGCGTCCAAGATCTCGAGGATGACGTCGGCCCGCTCTACGACCTTTTTGAGTTCGCGCATGTACGCCTTCCGGGAGTTGTCGTTGAGCTCCATCGTCTTGACGAACTCGTTCGCGTCGGCACTGGCTTGGCGCTCGCCTTCGGCTTCCGCGAACGTGCTGCTCGCGTCTGCGGCCTGGCCCACAAGAGACTCGAGGCTCATCTTCGTGTTGGTCAGGTTCGACGGGAGGAGGGTGTTCCCGCGGTTGCGGTTTACCAAGTTCGCTCGCAGCTCTTTCTGCTTCAACTTCATCTGCTGCCGAGCAAGGGACTTGGCCGCAGAGAGCTTGGGCGGCGCCACGCCTGGTGCAACGACGTGCTTGGTTTGCTGGTTGCGGATGGCATTGTTCAGGACTGACGAGGACGCGGCGTTGGCGCTCTTGTTGCGTCGCTTGACCTTGGCTTCGTTCCGCCGAGACTGCTTGTCCTGTTTGTTGTTTGCCATGGCTGTGAAAGTGAAAGGAATTGCCACAATATGCAGAAAGCAGCAAGTTGTTTGAAATACGTTTGAAATACGAAATGGTACAATTTATGGTTGAGTGCAAACATTTAAAAACCTTTTCGTACTCATTCAAATTATACCAACGATGGTTCGTCTCCAATGATTTGATTGCACGACGCTGATTGGGTAACCGGGATAGTCATAATATGTCACCACAATGGTGAGTGATTCATGGTGTCTGATTGTACACTTCCTAAATATTTCAATCATTTACAGATATTATAAAACCATACAATCTATTCACAGTGGATTTGGCATATTTGGGTTTTGGATATTTCAACGATGCACCATTCTGTTTTGCTGGTGGTCCTATGTACTACTTCAATGGAATATCTAAGGTCAAAGTGGATATGCCTCTATGCAATGGAACTAAAGTGGGAAAAAGAACGACTTGCAGACTGCAGTGATGTGTGAAATACCTCGTAACTGACTATAACACGCCGAAATATTAATATTAATTATTGTTACACTTCGAAATAGATTGCATTTTAGCCAATCAGCGTCCACCACATCATGCAACGTGTCTGAGGTCGTGAATGTTTCCGGATGACAGTCATGGGTGATATCCGGAAACATTCGAGCATTATTATCCGAGCTACGATGGCGACGCCGAGCGAGAAGAACTGTACGATCCTTCTCTTCTCGGGGGTGGAGAAGGGTGGCGCGCAGCCCCCCAGCCAAGACGATGTCCTCAAGGGCCTGGAAAGCGCCAAGATGGACGACAAGATCCGTGCACTGAAGGCCGCCATTGTCGCGCTCTTGAGCGGCGAAAAGCAACCGCGCGTGCTTATGCAGATCATTCGTTTTTGCAGCACCAAGGAAGACCACCAGTTAAAGAAGCTGCTCATGATCTACTGGGAGATTGCGGTCAAGTACGACGACCACGGCAAACTCCTGCCCGAGATGATCCTCGTGTGTAACGCGCTGCTCAACGACCTCAACCACGCGAACGAGTACGTCCGCGGGTGCATGCTTCGGTTTCTGTGCAAGATCAAGGAAAAGGAGCTTCTGGAACCCCTCAAGGACGCGGTCAAGGCCAACCTCGAGCATCGCCACTCGTACGTGCGCAAGAACGCGGTCATGACCGTGTACACCATGTACAAGACGTTTGGCGACGCGCTCATCCCCGACGCCCCCGAGCTCATCGAGCGGTTCATCGTGACCGAGTCCGACTCGAGCGCGCGCCGCAACGCGTACCTGATGCTGTTCGACTGCGCGGAGACCGTGGCCGTGAACTTTCTCATGAACTCGATGGACCAGATCCAAAAGTTTGGCGACGGCTTCTCACTCGTGATTCTCGAACTCACCCGCAAGGTGTGCCGCGTGGACCCGGCCCAGAAGGCTCGGTTCATCCGATGCATCTTCCAGCTACTGCAGTCGTCCTCGGCGGCCGTGAGCTACGAAGCGGCGTGGACGCTCGTCACGCTCAGCTCGGCCCCCACGGCCGTCCGCGCCGCCGCCAAGACGTACGCGGGTCTTCTCAACTCGCAGAGCGACAACAACGTCAAGCTGATCGTGCTGGACCGCCTCGCGGACCTCAAGAAGCATCACACGAAGGTGCTGCAGGAAGTGCTCATGGACATCCTGCGGGCCTTGTCTTCCCCGAACCTAGACATTAGCAAGAAGGTGCTCGACATAGCCATGAACCTCGTGAGTCCGCGCAACATCGACGACGTGGTGGGCCATCTCAAGCGGGAAGTGGTCAAGACCCAGGAGAAGGGCCGCATGGACAAGGCGGCCGGCGACGACTACCGCAAGCTGCTCATCCGGAGCATCCACGCATGCGCCGTCAAGTTTCCCGACGTCGCGCATCAGGTGGTGCATCTGCTCATGGACTTTCTCCCGTCGGATGGCGCCATGGACGTGGTGCTGTTTGTCCGGACGATGTGCGAAGCGTATCCGGATCTGCGCCCGAGCATCGTGCACAAGCTGATGCTGTCGCTGCCCGACATCCAGACGGCCAAGGTGTTCCGGGTCGCGCTGTGGGTGCTCGGCGAGTACGCGTCCGCCCAGCCCGCCGCCGACACGGCCGTGCACCGGGTCGTGGAGGCGGTCGCGGCGGCGCTGGGTCCGCTCCCATTTGCCGCCGACGCCCAACCAAGTCTGCCCGTCGGCGACAAGAACCACCCCGCCAAGCCCGTGACCAAGAGCGTCGTGCTGGCGGACGGGACGTACGCGACCGAGACGTCGTACGCCGTGGCCCCGATCACGGCGGCGTCCGCGGCGGGTCTCACGCTGCGCAAGCTGATTCTGGCCGGCGACTTGTTCCTCGCGTCCGCCGTGAGCTCGTCGTTGACGAAACTGGCAGCCCGCGCCGTGCTGCAGGACCCCGAGAGCGCCGCGAACGGCCCCGTCAAGTCGCTCGTGCTGACGGTGCTGCGGTACATCGCATCGTTTCTGCTGTTGGACGCGGACGAAGACTCGAAGCGCCGCATGCTTGTGTGTGTGCGCATCCTCACGGACCCGTCGTTCTTTGACCGCGTCGCGCCAGTCTTGACCAAGGACTGCCGCGCATCGTACCGGACGCTGCTGGACGAACAGACCGCGTCTGCCGCCGCGTCCGTCGACGGAGACGCCGACGTGCCGCAGGTCGAAGTGGACGACCTGATCAGCTTCCGCCAGCTCCGGGGCAAGAAAGCGCTCGGGTCCACCGACATTGACATTGACGACGGCGCCGACCTCAGCCGCGCCACGGACGGCCCGAACGAGTACAGCGGCAAGCTGCGCGCCGTGCACCAGCTCACGGGGTTCGCCGACCCAGTGTACGCCGAGGCATATGTGACAGTGCTCGCGTACGACATTGTCGTGGAAATCCTCGTGGTTAACCGGACCCCCCACACGCTCAACAACTTGAGTGTGGAGCTGACCCCCATGGGCGACCTCAAGCTCGTGGAACGGCCCGTGTCCGTCACGATTGGGCCGCTCGACACGCGAACTATCCGCGCCAACATCAAGGTATCGTCGACTGAGACGGGCCACATCTTTGGCACGATCGTGTACGAGTCGGCGTCGGGCGCCGAGAAGACGATTGTCAACTTGAACGACATCCATGTCGACATTATGGACTACATCGTGCCGGCGGACTGCGCCGACTCGCACTTCCGGAGCATGTGGGCCGAGTTTGAGTGGGAGAACCGCGTGGCCGTCAACACGGACATCACCAACGTGTTTGCGTTCCTGCAGCACATTGTGGACAAGACCAATATGCGGTGCATGACGCCGACGGCGTCGCTCGGGGGGGACACGCACTTTTTGGCGGCGAATCTGTACGCCAAGAGCATCTTTGGTACTGGTTTCCGTTGGGTTAGGATGGGGATTCATATATGATGTATGTGTAGGGGAAGACGCGCTCGTGAATTTGAGTGTGGAAAAGCTGGACAAGGGCAAAATTGCAGGGTACATTCGCATTCGAAGCAAAACGCAAGGGATCGCGCTGAGTCTGGGCGACCGCATCACGGCCGTGCAGAGAGGCCAAGAGGACCCGAACAAGAGAAAGAAAATCGCAGGCTAAGTGTCGTCTTTAGTACATATGATGAAGCTAACAACATCACAAGAATCCATGCCAAGTATATGATCCACATGCGAATCTCTTTGTGTGTTAGAATCGATCGATAGATTTAGCAAATCAACACAAAAGTCCACATTTGGGGTAAAAGGACAGTATTATTATTATTATACATAGCCATACAGCAGAGCGACTTTGGTGAGCTTGGCTATGATCTCGTTCCAATGGTTGGTTTGTAAAAGTGGCTAATATAGAGTAAGTAGCCTCAACCTTATAACAAGGACGAAAGCAGATTATTTACATATGAATGAATGAATATATATGTATATTTTGGTTAGTTGATCTTGAAGAACGGGGACCACAATTCAACCGTGCCGGCCAAGACGCAGCAACCCTGCACTTCTTGCAACTTGGGGCACGCGGTGCCGCCGTACGCCGGCTGTCGGGTGGCGCACCTCGTGCGGTACTGCTTGCCGAACGCACACACGCTCCATGCCGTCCAGTCGCTGACGACGCAGTTCACAGGGTCGCACGGGGCGCTCTCGGTCGTGGCCGGGCACGCCTTGCCCCCGTATAACGGGAACGTCTTGACGGTAATCTTGCGGGTCTTGGTGCCGGTGCGCGGGTTGCAGGCGGCCCAGGGCGACGGGGGATTCATCACGCAATCCACGGGGTCACAGCTCTTGGTTTCCGTCTTAGAGCCGCACTTGGCGCCGTTCCCCGTGGGCGCCACTTCCACCGTGCGCACGCGGGTTTGGTTGCCCTTGACGCACGCCCCCCACGCACTCCACGCGCTCAGCTTGCAGTCGATGCCAGGGCACGGCTGGGTTTCAGTCGTCGCGCCGCAAGCGATCCCCCCGTACGTGGCAGGCACGAGCACGCTGCGAGTCCGCACGCTGGTCGCGGTGGTGGATCCGTTGCACGAACTCCACGCCCCCCACACCCCTAGCAGGCAGTTGACCGCCGGGCACTTCTGCGTCTCTTTGAGAGGTCCGCAAGCCACCCCTCCATACCGGGGGGCGACGAGGACGGACCGAGTGCGGGTCTGATCACCGTATTCATTGCACAGTCCCCAGGACGTCCAAGGACTCAACTCGCAGTTGGAAGATGGGCACGGCTGTGATTCAGTCGTTGGCCCGCACGCCGCTCCGCCGTACTGAGGCGCCACGAGAATCCGACGGGTGCGCGACCGCTGTCGGATGCTGTCGTTGCACTGACCCCACTCTGTAAACGGACCCAGTTGGCAGTCCACGGGGGAGCAAGGGGTCGATTCGACCTGCGAGTCGCAGGCGTGGCCGCCGTAGAGAGGCGCCACGAGAATTTTGCGAGTGCGCGTTCGCTGACTAGTGACGGCGTTGCATTCCGACCAGATGCTCCAGTAGTCCAAAAGGCAGTGCACGGGGTCGCAACTCTTGGTCTCCGTGAGGCCCGGACAGAGGAGCCCTCCGTTGGCGGGGGTCGTGACCACAGTGCGGGTGCGGATGCGTTTGCCGGCGCCGTCGCAGGTGCTCCAGTCGCCCCAGTTGCTGACGGCACAGTTGACGGCAGGGCACCGCTCGGTTTGGATGAGAGGGGGACACGCTCGGCCACCGTACAGAGGTGGTGTGATCACGGTGGCCGTGCGGGTGCGCGAGTACGAGTTGGGGTCGCACGAGGACCAGGAGCTCCAGTCGCTGATGATGCAGTTGACGGGGGCACAAGGGGCGGTTTCAGACAGGGCCGGACAGGCAACTCCTCCATCAGACGACTGCCGGGTGACTGTCCGGGTTCGGGTTACCAGCTGGGTATTGGCATCGCATGTCGAGAACGCCGACCAGAAGCTGACTTGGCAATCGATGGGGTTGCAAGGCTGGGATTCTGACAGACCCGGGCAAGGGGTGCCGCCGTTTTCGGGTGGCGTTTGAACCGACCGCGTCCGGGTGCTCACGGCCTTGGTGCCGTCGGTCGGATTGCACGTGGACCACGCACTCCAGTCGGTGACGACGCAGTTGACCGGGGAGCACGCGACGGTTTCGACCAGGTCAGGACAGAGCTTGCCTCCGTTGAGAGGGGGTTGAGTGACCACCCGGCTGCGAGTCTTCTTGCGGGTCTCCAAGCAGCAAGCGGTGAACGACCCGAACGGACTGACGAGGCAGTCGACGGGGGGACAGGGAGTGGTTTCTTGCAGAACTGGGCAGGGGGTGCCGTTGTACAGCGGCGGAGTCAGCACCGTCCGCGTACGAGAGCGGACGTTCGTTGAGATGTTGCACTCGGACCAGCTAGAGTACGCAGACACTTGGCAGTTGACCGGGGCGCACGCTTTGGTCTGAGTGGTTTCGTCGCAGGCGCTGCCTCCATTTTCCGGCAGCACGAGGGTCTGTCTGGAGCGTTGCTGGGTGCCCGTCTTGGCGTTGCACTGCGTCCAGTCGCCCCAAAGCCCCAGTTGGCAGTCCACGCGGGGGCAGAGTGCCGATTCCACCAAACTCGCACACGCCTCTCCGCCGTTCGCGGCAGGGACCTCAACGGACCGGACGCGGGACTTCATGTTGGTCACAGGGTCGCACGCACTCCACGCCCCAAACGCACTGAGTTTGCAGTTCTGACGCTTGCACTCGAGGGTGTCGACGGTAGCCTCGCACGGCTTGCCTCCATATTGGGCAGGCGTCAGGACGGCGCGGGTGCGCGTCTGCAGTTGGGTGCTCAAGCTGCACTCTGAATAGACGGACCACGGACCCAAGACACAATCCACAGGTTCACACGGCACCGACTTCACCAGGGACGGACAGGGGGTGCCTCCAAACTGGGGCTCCGTCACCACTTGGGCGAGCCCCTTCTTGTTGCCCGTCGCCGGATCGCACGCGCCGAAAGCGTACGATGTGATGACGCAGTCCACAGGGTCGCACCGGCGGGTATCAATGCCGGGGCCGCAGGGGGCCCCGCCGTTCTGCGGGGAGACGGTGATGGTCCTGGTGCGCGATTGCAGTCGACTGGTGTAGTCGCACTTGGACCACTCTGTGTAGGAAGACTGCTGGCAGTGCACCGGGGGACAAGAGTCGTACGCGATCAAGGTGTCACATGGCTTGCCATTGTACAGCGGAGATACGACGATGGTGCGCGACTTTGGCTTGAGTTGGGTCGTCACGTCGCAGTCGCCGGTCGTCCATTCGCTCAACTGGCAATCCACGGGCTCGCACCCCTGGTTCTCGGTGAGGCCGGGGCACGACCGACCGCCGTTGAGTGGCGCCACGTTGATCGTCCGGGAACGAGTGCGCAGACCCGTGAGCGGATTACACGCCGAATAAGCACCCCATTCCGACACTTGGCAGTGCACAGGCTTACACTCTTGGGTTTCGACCAAGTCTCCACAGGCTTTGCCCCCGTTGGCTGGAGGTGTGAGCACGTTGCGAGTCCTCGTCTTTACGCCAGCAGCAAGGTCGCACTCGGACCAAGTGTACCACGCTTCCATGACGCAGTCTTGGGCCGGACAAGGGATCGTTCGAGTCGTTTCTTCACACGGAGTTCCCCCCCATTGGGGAGGGGTCAGCACAGTTCGAGTTTGGGTTTTGACTCGCGTCAGAAGATCGCATACTGACGGCGCCGACCAGCTGCTTAGCTGGCAATGCACCGGAGTACACGGCTTGGTTTGGCTCAGGTCGGGGCATTGGGAGCCGCAGTTTTGCGCTGGGATTCGAACGGTTCGAGCGCGAGTCTGGACGGGGGACGTGGCGTTGCAGCCGACCCAGGCCGACCACTCGTTGACGACGCAGTGCACGGTCGGGCAAGCAACCGTGGCCACAGTCGGTCCACACTCGATTCCTCCATACTTGGCCTCGACAAGAACCTTTCGCGTCTGCGTTCGCACTTGGGTGGAGCAGTCGCACGGCGACAGAGGCGTCCACTCAGAGACCTCGCAGTTGACCTTGTCACAGGGCGCCGACTCCACTAGACTGTCGCAGGGGATCCCAAAGTTGGCTGGTGGGGTGACGATGGATCGGGAACGCGACTTCGTTTTGGTCGTAGGATCACATGTCCACGGCCCAAAGTCGCTGAGCTTGCAGTTGACGGGTTTGCAGTCCTTGGTTTCCTCCGTGGGTCCGCACGGCACCCCCCCGTTGATAGGAGGCGTCTGGATGGTCCGGACGCGGGTCTGCTTGGCGGTCGCTTGGTTGCACGAGGACCAGGCGCTCCACGGAGCCATGACGCAGTCTTGCGCCGGGCAGGGGGTGGTCTGGCTGAGGGGACCACAGGCTTTGCCCCCCCACATGGGCTGGCGGGTGACGCTTCGGGTTTGGGTCTTCAGGTGCGTCTAGAATACGTACATACCATCAGGAGAGTGTCAAAGGAGTCATCTGATGTCGTACAGTCAGATCGCAGGCCGACCACGCCGACCAGCCACTCGTTTGGCAGTCCAGTGGATTGCACGCCTTTGTCTCGACCAACGAAGGACACTCCCTGCCACAATTCTCAGGCTGCGTTGTGACCAATCGAGTCCGTTTCTACATGCAATGTTAGTGTACAAGCTACATTTGAAAGGGAACGAGAGAACCTGCACGGCGCTGGGGTTGAAATTGAGCGCGTCGCAGCCCGACCACGACGAAAAATCGGATACGACGCAGTTCACCGCCGGACAGGGCACCGTGGCTGTGAGGGGTTGGCACGGGCTGCCGTTGTACAGCGGACTCGTGACAATCGTGCGGGTCTTGGTTCGGATGCTTTTGGAGCAGTCGCAGTCCGACAGGGGGCTCCACTCGCTGAGCACGCAGTTGACAGCGTCGCACACAGCCGTCTCCGTCAGCACCCCACACGCGTTGCCTCCATACGCGGGTGCCACTTGAATCGACCTGCTGCGGGTCTTTTGGAGGGTTGTGGGGTCGCATACCCAGTCGGAAAAGTCCGAGAGTTGGCAGTCTACGGGCTTGCAGTCTTGGTACTGAACGAGGTCGGTCTCGCAGGGGGCGCCGCCGTACTCCGCTGGAAGCACCACACTGCGCGTCCGGGTCTTTCGCTGGGCGGACAAGTCGCAGTCCGACCATTCGGACCACGTCGAGAGGACGCAGTTGCGCGCCGGGCATGCCTCTGTCCGAGCCAACGACCCACACGCGGTGCCATTCCAGTACGGACCAGACACGACGGTGCGAGTTTGAGTTTTCAAATGTGTCTAGAATACCAAAATGTCGTTCATACTTAAACGACAGTGAAAGTGTACCGTCAAGTCGCAGTCAGAGAGTTCGGACCAAGGACTGACGATGCACGGCTCCGGCACACACGGTTTGGACTCCATCAAGTCAGGACAAGGCTCGCCGCAGTTCTGGGGTGCCCTAGTAATCACCCTCGTTCGCGTCTAGAATGCAAATCATCAGCTTTGTCACTAATTCACAGGAATATGCGTACATATTTCTCGTCCTGCGGGTTGAGTGCTGCCTTGTCACAACCAGTCCATTCTCCAAAAGAGGTGACTTCGCACTGCACAGGAGGACAGCTTTCTTCCGCTTCCAAGTCGCCACAAGCTTGGCCCCCGTACCGGGCAGGGCGTAAGATCTGGCGGACCTTGGTTTTGGTGTTGGTGGCGCAGTTGCACTGGGAGACGCTCCAGTCCGACAGTATGCAATCAACTGGTTCGCACTTTTTCAGATCCAGCAACACGTCGCACGGCAACCCGCCGAACTTGTTGACAGTGATCACCTTCCGAGTTCGAACGCTAGTAAATGTGACGGGGTCGCAGTCCGAGTAGCTCGAATACGCCCCCAACACACAGTTCACGGGCAGGCACGCGTCGGTTTTGATCAGGTTCGCGTCGTCGCACATCGTTCCTCCGACGTCTGCGGCTCGGAGGACCGACCGGGTGGCGACCCGCAGGCCAGTCTTTTCGTCGCAGAGGCTCCACGCCGACCATTCTGACAGCTGGCAGTCGGTGGACGTACACGCCTGGGAGTCGACGAGCTTGCCACAGGGGACGCCGCTTTGGAGGGCGGCCTGCACGATCTGCCTGGTGCGTGTTTGGAGGTTGTTGGAGCACGCGGTCCAATTAGACCAGTCGGTAAGCACGCAGTCGACAGGCGTGCAGGGCGCCGTCTCTTCGAGCGGGAGGCACGACGTACCCCCGAAGAGCGGCGGCTGCAGCAGAGTTCGGGTGCGCTTCTTTTGCTGGTTCAAGCACGGCCCAAAGTCCGTCCATTTGGACACTTGACAGTCCACGCCTCCGCACGGCAACTGGTCCGTCAGGCCCGGACACGGCGCTCCGTCTCCCACCGTGGGGACTGTGACCTGCCGAGTACGCGTCCGGAATCCGGTGACGGCATTGCACGGCCCAAACACACTCCAGTCGTCCACTTCGCAGTCTGTGGTGGGGCACGGCTGCGTCCGGACGACGTCGTCGTCACAGGTGGTACCGTACGTCACGACGTACCGGGTGGACGTTTGAACGTGCGTGGTGTAGTCGCAGGTGGACCAGTCACTCCACTGCGATAACTCGCAGACGGGGAGGACGGTGCAGGGCTTTGTTTCCACGTGGCCTGGTTCACACTCGTGGCCACCATACAGAGGCTGCTGGGTGATCGTTCGAGTCCGCAGCGCCGAGGTGCCGTCGCAGAACCAGTCGGACCAGCCCGTTTGCTGGCAGTCCACAGGGGCACACGCACGGAACTCGACATCTTCGGGGCAGTCCTCCGCCTGCCCGACACGGCTGCGAGTGCGCATTTGGAATCCGTCGGCTTGGCACACATCCCAGTCCCCCCACTCCCCCATGACACAAGGTCGGGTGCAATCGTCGAAAAACGAGGGTATGCAAGGCGTACACGACACCGTGTCGGTCAACGGCGGGCATGCAGCAGCCCCGGAGTTCTCCAACACTAGCCGGGAGCGAGACTTCTGGCCATTGGTGCAAGGTGAATACGCGCTCCATGCCCCCACAGAGCACGGTGGTGGGCGGCAAATGTCTTCGTCCGTGAGGGGGGCGTCACAGGGGGCTCCGCCGTTCGAGGGGGGCGTGAGAACCGTCCGGGTTCGGGTACGTCGGTTGTCCTTGCACGCCGAAAAGGCCGACCAACCGCTCACCACGCAGTCCACTGGAACGCACGGCTTGGTGTCGGTGAAAGACCCCACACAGGGCTTGCCGTTGTCGAGAGTTCCGCTCTGGATCGTTCGCGTGCGCGTTTGCAAGTGCTTAGCTGTATCGCATTCGCCCCACGAGCTCCAAGTTCCCCACTAACAAGTCATATATAAGAATAGAAAAGTAGGTGGCTGCTGTGACGTACTTGGCAATCTTGGGGGGTACAGGCCACAGATTCGGTCAAGTCTGGACAGAGTTTTCCGTTGTAGCGAGGCTGGCCAGTGACTTCCCGCACCCGCGTTCGAACCCCATTCATGCAAATGGAAAACTCCCCAAACGACGTGACCGTGCAGTCCACTGGCAAACACGCGGCCGTCTCATTCAGTTCCGGACATTGGGCACCGCCGTTTTCCTCGGCGCTCTGGATCTGGCGTGTCCGCAACCGCGTGCCACGAGAATCGTCGCATGCTCCGAACTCACTCCACTCGCTCACGACGCAGTCTTTAGGGGGGCACGCCACCGTCTCGACGAGGTTGTCTGGGCACGGCTCCCCGTCGTCTTGTGGTTGCGCTGTGATCTCTCGAGTTCGCGTGCGCAAGTGATATGTTAAGTCGCATGTACTCCACTCGGTCCACGGAGTCACGACACAGTTCTTGGGCTCACACGGAGTGGTCTCCACCGTGGACCCGCAGCTGTCCCCGCCGTACAAACTAGGCTGGATCACGTGGCGCGTCCGCGTACGGACCTTCCGGTCGATGTCGCACGTTCCCCACGCGCTCCAATCCGTCAGCGTGCACGGCACAGGGTCGCAGTTTTTGGTCTCGGTTAAGTTATCACAGGGCTTGGCACCGTTGCTGGGCTGGGTGAGGACGTACCGCCGACGAGTTCGCAGGCCGGTCGACGCGTCGCAAGTGCCCCAGTCGCCAAAGTCGCTCAGCCTGCAGTCCACGGCGTTGCACGGGACGTCGTCGACAAGGGGACCGCAGGGGGCCCCGCCGTTGAGCGCCGGGCGGAGGACAGTCCGCTTGCGCAGCGTCAGGTCGGTTGGGATTGCTGACGAGTCATTGTACGTTTGAATGGCGGGATCGCACGCCCAAGCACTCATGAGGCAGTCTTCTTTGAGGCAGAAGGACGAGTCCACGAGTGGGGGACACGCCGCCCCGCCGAGTGTGCTAGGGACCAAAATCGTTCGGGTCCGCGTTTGAATGAACGTGTCCGGATCACAAACGAACGGCGACCAAGCCGACACGATGCAGTCCTTGGCATCACACGGACGGCTGTCGACCAGGTTGGACGGACAGGCTTTCCCCGTTCCTTTGCGAGGCGTCATCACGCTTCGAGTGCGTGTCTCACTGCCCAACGAGCAACTCGACCACGGTCCCCATGGCCCCACTACACACGCCTCGTTAGTCGGTGTGGTGCAGGCCCGGGTGTGTAAGCACGCGGTGCCGCCCCCTCTGGGGCACTTTTTGATGCGAACGTCGCGGTCTTGCCGATTTGTTTGCGTGTTGCACGGTCCCCAGTCACTGAACACGTCGAAGACGCAGTCCACTCGGCGCTCCACGATGACGTTCCGCGTCGGCTCCAACGTGCACGGCAGCGTCGGGTTGTCCTCCAGGACCTGCGTACTCGTCGCCCCCACGAGGCCGTACGGTTCTAGCGCGCCTTGGTCCCAATTGGTGATTTCGTACGTCGCCCAGACGCATCCCGGCCGCGCGATCGGCTTGCATGGCACGATCTCTGGAATCGTGTCTCGCGCGGGGTCCCCCGTGCACGGCACCTTGTTGGTGTTGACCTTGATGACTTCGCGGTACGCCATCTGAAGCCCCGACGGCGTGCAGACACCCACAGGCGTCGGAGGCTCCAAGCACACCATGCACCCTTCGGGGGGATTATAGTCCCACAACAGCGTCGTCTCGCACTGGTACGGCGGCGACGTGGAATTAGACGGCCAGAGGATCGTGGCGCGGTCCGTCATCACTTGGGTGAGGAACTCCTCGGGGGTGTTGAACACATCGCTGTGTTCGAACGTGAACGAGTCGAGTTGGCTCCCCGACACCGCCGACACGACCAGCACGGCCCAACGTACTCTCATGCTGGTGGCAAATTGTCGACTGTGTCGATGATGACTCTACTACCTTCCATGTCTATCAACAGTAAAAACGGCTGATAGCTAGAGTGATGGGCAAGCTCAGCATACGCATGCGGAAATCTTCGACGGTCGAAACGCCAAACTCCCAATTGATTTCGGTTGACGAACATTTATATGTTTTGGCAACAACAAGGGAATTGATTTGGGATTGCAATAGCCTTGTTGGGCGGTGCCATGGTCGTCAAAGGAAGGATTTGCCTCGAGTTGTGAATATAATATGAAAGTAGGATAAAGTGCAACGAAACGTGTTAAGGAGATTGGGAGCTGCTAACTCGCTAGTTCAGCAGCATACGAATGTGGAAATCTTCGGCGGTCGAAACGCAAAACTGCCCGATTGATTTCAGTTGCACGAATAATCGAACACGCATGTTTTGATAACAATAGGGGAATTGATTTGGAGCTGTATCGCCCTCCTTGTTGGGCGGTGCATGGTCGTCAAAGCCAGATATTTGCCAGTGTTTGAGATGTGTAGTAGTCGTGAATTTAAGATTAAAGTAGGCATAAAAAGTGATAAGGAGAGTGGGTGCTGCTACTACAGTGGGATGCAAAAGGTTATAACCACTTGGTTTTTCTTGATTGTTTTTTTGCTGGCTGTGAATTAAATTAAGCTGAAAGGATGCATAGATTTGTATATATAAAATACACATTTCTAGCTTTGAAGCATGTCAAAATTAGAAAATGTCAGTGAGGAATGAAAAAAATAAAGTTTTACCACCGATGCGAAAGGTTATAACCATTTCGAGAGTTGAGCGATTGAAATGATACAATGTATTCATGGCTTAAAATGTTCAATTTCAATGTTCGTGGAATGTATTCTGCCGCGTTCTTGTTGAAATGCAACTTCAGTTCTAAACTACTACTTCGAGGTAGGAGCTTAATATCCATGGATACATTTGCTTTGGGGTCTCAACCGTTCTGCTCTCGAAGTGGTTATAGGCTTTCGCATCGGTGGTAAAACTTTATTTTTTTCATTCCTCACTGACATTTTCTAATTTTGACATGCTTCAAAGCTAGAAATGTGTATTTTATAAATACAAATCTATGCATCCTTTCAGCTTAATTTAATTCGGAGTCAACACAAAACAATCAAGAAAAACCAAGTGGTTATAACCTTTTGCATCGCACAGTACAGTATGTACTGTAACTTGCTTATCCTTCAACAACTCAACCATTAAAGTTAAATTATCGAAGGATACCTACCATAAGATATTTGAGATCTTTATGAATCCAATTTTAAAGAATAAGATGCATAATGTTAAAGATCGCTGATGATACTGACAGTGACTTGTGCAATCCATATGCAAATTCAAAATTCGTGTTTACGCCTTGGATTATGCTGGCAAAAGTAGCAGTACGAGCGCAATTCCAAGCGCCAACCTCCACCACTGTCGAACATTAGTCGGTACAGCAGGCGAAGTCTGGGCTGGAGCTTGGGGAACCTGCGTGGTGGTCGCCGAGCCGTCGGCAATAGGGAAAAGCGTCGGGGATGAGCCAGACCGCACCGCGGTGTTCCCGTCCCCGCCAACCGGAGTGTACCCACCCGTCGTGAGGTACGCCAATTCCGGCTTGAGGTTTCTGGTAGCATCAAACAGTCCAAAATGCGCTTCCACTGTGTCGATGACCCCTTCTTGGGCAATCTTCCACAGGTCGTCGAAGGCCGTGAACATGAAATACTTCAACTCGGCCGCGGCGGCAAACGCTGCGAAGTTGGCCACGTACGTCTAGACCACGTTGTTCAGCAAGTTACAGAGCAATGCAAAAACGTACGGCTTGGTTGATTGGACTCGCCACAGACGCCTTGGTGTTAACGCCGGCGGAAGGCCAGCCGGTCTCCCCGATCAGGACCTCCTTGCCGTGCGCCGCGCCGACCAGGGTATTAAACTTGGTCTTGAACGAATTGACAGCCGCGTCGACGTCGACTTGCTCCCAAAACGGAAAGGCGTTGGCCATCACGATATCCACAGCAGAAATCACCTGCGGGTACTCTAGTAGCGTGTCCAGCACGTCTGTGATGGACACGGGAAACGTCAGCTGCTTGGAGCCAAGGTACGTCTTCACTGCTGCAAAGTAGTTGATTGCCTACAATACATGTGAAGTGCTAGAGTAGTGAGATATATATACCTGGTCGGGGGTGATGTCCTTGCGGTACAAACTTTCGCTGCCAACGTGAATGCCTTCGATGGAGTTGTCCACAACGTTGTTCGTGACGAGCGCGTCCAGTGCCGCCAGCTCGTTGTTCAAGGACGACTGGTTGTTGGACACCCACATGCCGAGCCAGATGCCGAGCCCCGCCTTCTTGGCCGCCGTTGTGACCATGAAACCTTGGTTGCAGTCCACCAGACTGAAGATGCGCACGCGGGAAGCCACGGTCGCGATGGCCACCATGTCTGTGTCCACTTGGGCTTGGGACTTGCACCGATTCGGGTCCCAGTCAGGTCCCTGACGCGAGTTGTAGTTGACTCCGTAAAGCTTAAAGTCGACACCATACACAGCTGTGCAGAGCACTGCAAGAAAAGGCCACCGTCGGCTCATCATGGAAATATTGCGAAGTGACACGAAGCGATGACGTCTGTGCGACTTCACTTAAAATAAGTGCCGTCAAGATGACGTCCTTCGAATCCAAGGCTATTCTTACACTACGGTATTAATATACAATGGAAGTTTAAGAGCTATTGCACTCCTACAGAGTAGACAAGGTCAAATTGCCAACCTTGATCATTATTCAAGCTACTTTGAGGCAGGTCATACATAGAAGGGCACGTAAGATTTGGACTTTGGTGATATTTTGCGGTTTTAAGTTAAGATTTTCGCAAAACGAGGGAGCCCGACACCGAGATATTTTGAATCCCGTTCGTGTAAGTGACATATATCAACTTTTAAACTTCACCACGATCGCATGTAAAATGGAGGAAAGTTCTATCACTTGCATCCTTCGCCTATATCGAGGGTAACTTCTCCGCAAACACCCGAAACCGGTATTCGTCAAAGGCGGGAGCCGTGGGGCAAGGCTCGTCGTTGAGACGGCACGCGACCTTTGGAGGCGCTTCGTGCAACTCGCGGCAGTTCTGCAAGTCGTCCAAGATGACTGTTTTGACGACGCCGAGCACAAACACGTTGGCCGCCCGCACGTCACAGTGAGCGACTCCGACGCTGTGCAGTTCGTCCAGCGTGGCTCTGGCTCGGGCCTCAATCACTTTTCGGCCGCTGAATGCGGCCACAACGTATGGCCTACGCATGTGATCGTGACGGAAGTTTGACGTGCTGCACGTGGGCGGCGCTATATACATATATATTATATATATTTTTATTATGAAATCTCTTTAGACAGGACTGGAACCTATATTAAATAACTGGGAACGGTGTGGAGATGCTCTTATTAATAGCTCTACATTCTAACCAATTGAATGCGTTGCATCGAGCCCACATTAATTAACATGCGCCTTACTCCTTGACCATTTTGCGGTTAATTTCGAAAAATATTGGGTTTTTGGGACACCCGGTGGGGAAGATATGTCCCATCTGATGTCCCGATATCGAGTTGGGGCATATTTGGGGATGCGGTGGAGATGCTCTAAGAGCAGTTATCACCGAAATCTCCCTAATTCTTACTGTAACGTTAGTTAATATCCAAAACATGGATCCGATCACCTCCACATACATTATTAGCTTTCATTATACTGGAGGTTTGGCATCCAAAACGCAGTGCATAGGCGCGGGCTTGTGATCTTCTGCGACGGAACTCAATGAAGTTGTCCATGCTTGCTGGATGTTATGGCTTCTTCAATTTTGTCGCAAGTGATGTACGTGTAGGCCCCAACGACACCCGGATGCCGGTGGGGTCGACGACGGACAAAATGATGGCTGCGGTACGTACAGTACGTAGTCTTCGTTGGTGACGTATGTGGCATTCTTGATATGATAGACGGACATTGTCGCAGTGTAGGCTCCGTTGAAAACGTTGTACAATTTTTTGCCCACTTTAATATTCGGCTCGGCTTTCATCCACATTTCGCTCGTTTTGAACTGCGGAGCGGCTTTCATCCACGCCTTCGACACCTGGGAGACCTGGGCCGCGTTCGCCGGGGCTTGGAGTACCTTGGCCGAACTGGAGGTAAACCTTGTGGCAATGTTGAATGCAAGCACCAACGCCGAAACGACTTGGTCTTTGATGGCAATGCTGCAAAGGGCGGAGGATTTTGCGGCCCCCATGCCGCACTGCACCCACGAGGGAGGAGGAAGGCCCCAGCACACTGGGCCGACACCCGTGTAGCTGGGTTTGCACTTGGGGTAGCACAGGCCTGCGTCGAGATCTTCGTTGGCAGCGCACGTGCCCAACTTAGGCTTCCCAATCGTGATTTTCTTGGTACACGACAAGTCCAACCGGGCGCCCAAGCCAAAGGACCCGCAGTCGGGGGGGGGGGTCGACAGATACAACAGCCAAACGAAGTGTAGCCCGGCAAGCACTTGGGGTACACAACCAACCCCAGAGTATTCCGGCACTTATCGTATCTGAAACGGGGGTGTCCCAGCCTTGAGGCCTTGGAAGAGGGGTCTTGCCGACGGAAACAGGCTCGGGACAGAATCTAACGAGGTGGCAAAATATTTTCATCGTGTTCGGGTTTGCGAGACATATTGTACCCACTCATAATTTTATCTTTGGCCAATGAACCAATCAAAGCACATGCCACACGAAATCGGCATGTAAGCACACACGGAAACTATGGGAAAACGTTCAAGAAATCTGGATACCGTTCAGCCAAGTTCAAGCAAATGTTCTTTCCGTAACCCTGTAGCCCCGGGACTTCGTCCTAGGACTACCATATACCCCCCGCTTCAGTACCTATGATTCTCCGGTTGGACCTGTACCGGTTTGGAACATATCGGCCAATCACGAACATGTTCATGGTTCAGGTTGGGCGTGTACCGGTTGTGATCAGATTTCACTGACATTTTCATAGGTACTGAAGCGGGGGGTATACGGCAGTCATTTGATCGATAAATATCGATTTATTTAATGATGAATCATTCACTTTGTCATAATGTATACAACTACTGCCGATATACATAGAATATAAATGCATACCTTACTAGAAACGCAGTATATGACCAAGAGGTCTAACTTACAGTCACTAACTTAGACGGATAGACACAAATAATAATATATAATATAGGTATTTGCAGAGCATCAAAGGCTAATCCATCGAGGAGTATTTTCGGCGCCTGGCCTAGAAAGTCATCCAATGCGGCTGAGCGGGATCGACGATGCCATAGATTCGTCACTCGCATCAACCACGAGCGACACGAACCGCCAATTCTTGACGTCGAAGATATAAAGCGTGCCCTTCCAGTGCAGCGTGAGCAAGCCCGAGAGGACGCCAGACGTCTGGTCCAAGAAGAAGTCGCTGCCTTTGCGCCAGTGGGTAAAGTCCAACATGTAGTAGCTCGACGCGTTCAGCAGAAGCGTCGGGATCAACAAGGGCGGGACGCCCGGTCGGCATTTCATGTCGATAGTGGCGCACAAGACGACGCAACCCAGCACGATGGCTAAGTCGGCCCAGATGCGAGTCACACTGCCCACGGCGATGACACCGCTGGTACAATCCATCCCGCCGTCCATATTGACGTATGCGCACGTCCGATCGAGGGTGACGGTGCAGCTGTGGGGCGACACCAGTGTCCACACGGTTGTGATGAAGCAGACGCACACTGAGCTAGCAGCCGCGTACGTTGCCGTGTGCTGCTGCGTGAAACAACTAAAGACGTCGTTGAGGATGTAGACGACCCACGTGAGCTCGGACGCAGCGAGAATCGATTTGTACCAGGCCACGGGTGGCGCTGTGAGGTGTGTGCCGAGTCCGACTTTGCTCAAAACCAACGGCTTCGTGTTGAGGAGCCAGAGAGCGGTCACACTGCGGAGGATCAGGAGCGGGCGGCCGACCCAGACATGACCCACGATCCGATTCAATTCAAAGAGGTTGAGGCTTTCAATGCGGCCGCGGGAGACGAGTGTGTAGCCCATGGCCACGATTGTGACGGCGATGATTACGTACGTGACGTAGTAAACCGACCCGAGGAAAACCATCGCGATTTTGTTGGCTACGAGGGCCGTGTCGAGGGGAACGGACAGCTGTCCAATGATGGCAGACATGGTGGTGACAGTGCCGACGTCGCCTTGGAAGGACACGACTTCGCGGATCCCCGCGGCCCACTCGTACACGAGACACCACGCGTAGAAAGTCCAGTACGGCTGCGATGGCACGAACAACGGTGTTTGATACAACATCCGAGTCGTGCCGTTGGCGAGGATAAACTGAACCAACGAGATGTTCGCTGCGTTCACGGCTACCCACGCCGATTGCGCGACAGTCCATGCGGGTAGGGACTCCACGTTGTCGTCGAGAAACGAGTAAAAGGCGCCGTACGCGGGCACGGACACCGCCGTTGCGAAGGGGTCGAGGGCTACGACGGCCTCTAGGTCGGGCGTCGTCACCGTATGGCTACTGTTGAATGCATGCATCGCGAGTGCGATCTCGAACACCGTCGGCGTGAGATACTCCGGGATCTGCGTTGGACACAGATACGAGGTGCCGAAGCTCGCGTACACATTGAGCGTTAGTTGCGACGCGAATGAGTCGTCGTCGCACATGAGGTTGCCCCCTGTGACCAAAACATTGGCAGTGGTTAACACACCGGGCACGATGTCGCCAATGTAAAGCGGTGGCGCCAGGGCCAAGTACGCGGCCTGGGCAGTCGTGTTGGTCAACAGCAAGGCTGCCAACTCGTGCTTCAAGCTGCCGTAGTACGCCAGCAGCGCCGGTGGGCACGGGACGTAGATGGTATCCACGACGCCAAACGGACCAACGGCTTGAGTCACGAGGGTAAATCCGGCAGTGAGCGGTGATGGGAGTTGCTGGGACATCTGCAAGAGCGCCTGGCTCGTCGTGTTGGCAAAAGCAAAGTTTGCGCTGCCGCGAAGGAGGCTGTAGCCACCGATCGCAGACGAGTTGTCGGCGACAGCGAGGAGGTCGTTGGCCCACGACCAGTACATCCGAAGGGACGTCTGGGCGTCGAGGTGCATAGCACCGGGGGCAGAGCTTGTTGACATCGTGTACTGCATGCCCAAAGCCGTCGTGATGACAAAGGCGTCTGATAACGCAGTTGTTTTGAAGTTTTGCCACTGAAGCACAAACGTCGAGATCCCATTGTCACTCCAGTAGGCGACTTCGGCATCAACGGAGCCACGAAGCCCCGTGGTCGTTGCAAGCCAAGCTTGGCCTGGCTTGGAGATTGCCAACTGCTCCCGGACGGCCACGTCGAACGAGGCACCCCAACAAATCTGCCACGCCGCCCAGTCGTTGACATTGCGCAACGCCGCCTCGACGTACACGGCACCGTTGGCTTGTTGGCGGGTACAGCGCTGCTGTCGCATGCCGCTGCTGGCCATTTCCCACTGCTGGCCAAAGTCGAGCCAGCAGTACTGCGTGAACATCCACGGCAGCTGGCACGGGTCCATGCTCCTCAAGCCAACGATCACTTCCGTGAGGACGATGCGTTCGGGATCGTAGAGCAGACGCCGGACAGCGCCCTCGTACCACATCACAGTAGTACTCGTCCCGTCGTAGAGCTGTCGAAAGTCACCGTACTTGGGAGAAGCCACGGCCAAGTCGGAGGTGGTCGCAGTGCCCAAGTTGAGTTGGTCGTTGAAGAGGTTGGCGAGGAACATGTAGTGGCCCGTGGTGTTGAAGTCAGCCCATCCAAAGTCGTTCGAAAGGGCTTCTTGGATGACGCTCACATAGACGAGGTTGCTGCCCAACGTGACACCGAGGTACCCGATGCCGGCGACGAAGATGCACGCCCGCAGTCGCCGCTGCCTTCGTACCTGTGATGATTGTGATCCTTGCTTAACAGCAAAGTTTACGGGGGTCTGTGAATTCGAGGGTTCAATCTCAGTTACAGATATCGTGCTGGGCAAAACGTTGCTCCTGTGCAACCATTTGTCGATAAACGTGGATTGCAGCGACCTGAGCTTGCCTACAGTGTTAGGTCGGGCATCATTCGTGTCAGGGACACCTGTTGTGAATTGGGGCTTCCGCAACCAGAGCTTGATGTCAAAAAGAAAGTCGTGACTGGCGACGAAGACTCCGCACATGGCAGCCGTGGCACAGTCGAGGTCGACGGTCGACGTCAAGTAAGCTGCCGCTGTCCCTGGCAAAAGTAAGTTCCAGCGCCCACGTGTGCGGTGGGGTTGAACCAAAAGCGAAGCTGCGACCAGGATAACAACGATCGTGGCGGTGCGAGGGAAGCTCCCGATGCGGATAGTGCCGATCGTGCACTCCACTCGGCGGATAATGTCTGGAATCGTGCACTCGTGGGAGACGGTCATGTCCACAGTGACCGGTGCCGCAATGTCCAAGATGGCCACGGCGATCCATGCAATGATCGGAGCGGCTTGGTGACCGCGGACAAGAGGAGCGAGGATCTCTTGCAAGACGTAAACCAACCACGTCGCTTCGTTAGCCAAGACGAGGGACACCCATGGGCTTCGTGGTGCTGATGTCACTGCAAGTGTGCCGTGGGTGGAGTGGGTGATCATCGGAGCGGTAGCGAGGACACCCGTGGCGATGAGACTGCGCGTGACGAGAATGCTTCGGCTCAGCCACACTGAACTGACAAGGCGGGGAAAGAGGAACCAGTGCGTGCCACAGGGTCGGTTCCAGCTCCAAATGCCGAGGACAAGCACCATTACCAATGTTAGGACCACGGAAGCAACAGCTGCTAAGCTCCAGAGGTACGGTCCAAGCGCAGCGACTGCAGTGATCGGGTGTTGAGACACCGATGGATACAGCGGGGACATGACTGTGATCGTCGACACGTCACCGACAATGGCGATCACTTCGCGCTGGTTCATGGCCCAGTCGTAGAGGCTCATCCACCCAAAAAATGCGTAGGTAGGGTCGAGGAGATGCTGCATCTGTAGTATCAAGTTGGATTGGTTGCTTACGACTTGGCTGTACCCGATCTGCTGCAGGACAGGTGCCGTCGGTGGCGTCATCTCCATCGGTGGAAACAACTGGAACGTCGTCAACGTGGCAGTAAAGATAGCGCGACAAGTTTGGACCTGCACCGGCGACGCTCCCAGGTCACATATGCTGTCATTTGTCGGCCGTAGCATGGCGAAAGCAAAGAGGGCGTTCCACGGGTGCCACTGCACCGAGAGTGGACTTATGGCACCGCAGATCGAGTAGAACCCAAACGACTCTTGCACCGTCGGCAGTAGTGGCGCGTCCGAGCAGAGGAAGTTGCCGCCGTAAAACCGGAGCGACGGATCGGCCCATTGGTGCGGCGTGACTTGGATAGCCACTGCTGCGATCGCGGCGACGGCGGCGGCAAATTTGGCGTCGGTGGCAATGTGATGCAGCACAAGCGATCGAAAGTACCCAACGGTGGACATGAGCTGACTGGGCGGCGACACCCACCACGCGTCGATGTTGCTCATACCACCTATGCTGTCGTGCAGAAGGAGGTTGAGCGGGCTCAAATCGAAGCCTGTGATGAAAATCTCGATCAAGGACGCCGTCGTGTTTGAGGAGGTGGGCGTGTTGCGCACGAGGCTCTGGTCAGCGCCGATGGCTGCCAAGGCGGTCAGTAAGAGGTTGTTCAACAGCATGCAACTCGGGTTGTAGTAGGCCACGACCGAAACCGTATTGATCGGGTATGCCCAAGTCATGCCGAGGGCGTTCTCGATGACAAGCGTCTCCGAGACGCCGTATCTGTACCAATTGGAAAACTGGAGCTGGAATTCCACGAGGCCGTGTGTCATCCACACCATTGCTTCTGCCTCCACGGAGAGAACGTCGTGTTGGAGGAGTGTGGAGAGCCACGCTTCTCCTGCGGCACCGGAGTCGACGATGGGCTGGCCAATGTGCACCATAAAGCTTACCCTGTTCATCGCCAGCCACCCGGGCAAGTCAACGTTACGCAAGACGGCTTCAAGGTACACGGCTGCGTTCGTGGACATGGTCTCGACACACCGCGCCTGCCGCTGCGATGTAAAAGCAAGCTCCCACCGGCGCTCCAGATCCGCCCAGCAGTAGATCGTGATGAGGCTGCTCACGTCCGCAGCGTTCATGGTACGAAGCGCTGTGATGGGGACGTCCAGCTGCGTCCACTGTTGCAACATGATCTTCCGTCCATACGCTGCCTGCACGCCCAGGGAAGGGTCAGTAGCTAGGTATGTGGCACCGAAGAGATCGAAGCCGTCGGTTGGCACGGTGAGTTCGAGGTTAAGGAGCCCCGTGACCACAGGCATCGAGTCGTTGAAGGCGGCCCACAAATAATCATTGGCCACGAACGGCTGCAAGAGCCCGAGACCAACGAAGCCGAGGCCCGTGGACGCCACAACGTAGGCAGCACCGAGGGTGTCCCTTAACCAGTGCTGCGGCAGATGCATGTTGCCTTGTAACAAAACTTGAACACTGGTGGCGCCAGAAAAGACTGTTCACGACCATTATTGAAGTCGATGGTTTCACCCTGATTTCTATTTATACAAAGGAGCTGAGGGAAAACGAGGATACAGCATTAACGTTATACTTCCTCGGTACTGTATCGGGTTTCCACGCGTGACATCCAGAAAATTCGACAATAAGAAAATAGAGGTAGCGTCCATTATTGGCACCAAGGGGCAAAAACCAGATTTTGGGGGTCGAAATCGAAATCAATAAACTAACGTTATTAATAACGTGACGGATCAGTGATCAACCGATTTTGAGCTCGAAAGAAGTTCAAATTTTCACGACGTAAAAGTAGCTGTGTCGAAATTTGAATTTGCCGCCATGAGCCCTGCCCCGCGCGCAACACGTAAACTCACACCAGGCATGAAGATGGACGTCGTGCGCGATTCCATTGAAGCCACAGCAATTCGCAAGTTGGCCGCGCCACAGTCCGCAAGATATGGCGCTACTTCAAGAGCGGGTCACTGGCATCCAAGAAGAAAGGGTATGTAGGTCCAAAGCCTCGCTACACCGCCCACGAGGTCACCGATATCGTCGGCAGCGTACCAGCACGCGATCGCAGCACTATGCGCGACATGGCCAACGCTATTGGGATATCGGTGACCACACTTTGCCGCCAATTGAAGTCTTGGACGATCAACCGTCGATCGTCCCGACTGAGAAGGATGCCAGCAAATTTGAGCGACTTGCATTCTGTGGTGCATACGTGAACATTCAGATGGAATGCATGAATGATAACCTGAGCAATCGCATGGGCGATGCGGCCATCGAAGCTGAACTCACAGCCCTCTCAGTCAGTGCCGGCACCCTACAATATTTCTGACATGTAGGATATGGCGTATCTCGACGACAAATGGTTCAATGCAGACAAGGATAGCGGGAAGACGTACGTGACGAAGGGTGATTATGATCGCTGTGCTTGCAAGTCCAAGCGTTTCATCCCGATGGTCATGCTGTTGGCTGATGTGGCTCGTCCTCGGCTTGAAGCAGGTTTTGACGGCCCTTCTTTGAGCAAAAACGGGCCTGATGAAACTCCTGTAATCGACCTGCACGAAAGATGGTCACTGCGTCAGTCAATGTGGATGCGAAGACGTACCGTGACTACGCGGTGAACAAGGTCGTGCTGTCCATCAAGGAGCGATTCCTCAGCAGACGCCTCATGCGCCACATACGCCAACCAAAGCCACGAAGTCTCGGACACTGCTCAGCAGCCATAAATACCGTGGTGGGGGAGTTGTATCAGCGAGTCGGTTGGTGCGGTAACTTGTGCTTCAACTAAACTCTCAAGAACGAAGCACTGGTCCGCCCTTGCAGTCTTCACAACTATGACTTATGAAAGTGAATATTAATTCATAACATTAGAGGAGTTCGCGAGAACACTTCCCCCTACATTGGGTGGCCACATGCAGTCGTGAGATCGTCAATCATTTCGCTCACGCCGTCTTCGTTGCTCCGGGCCTTGGCCCAGCGACGGAATAGCACGGGAACGTCATCATAGATCGATAGGGCCGGCTCCCAGGACGACTCCAGATCATCCAGGCCAAGCCACTTGATCAGGACTTCCCAGACCCCATCTCGCAGACGCAGGTCCCGGATGTCTTCCACGTAAAAACCTTCATCGCCGAACGCGATTTGGGCCTGCAAATCTTCATTGACTTCACGTCCGCCTTCACAGTACAGGCGGAGCCGGCACGCATGGTGCAGGGACGTCGCTCCCGGAGGCACCAGCTGCTGGACTTCCATCAGGTAGTCGGAGACCACCTTCACGACCCGGAAAGGTCCCTTCCAACGCAACGTTAGCTTTCCCGGATGCTGGAGAGCCCGGGCCACCAAAACAAAATCGCCTAGCATAAATTTCGCCAGCTTCACGGAACGTTGACCATCACGACGGTAGCGGGCCTTAGCTCTGTGCTTGTGCATATTTCCCAGGGCATCTGCGAGCTCTTCTCGGTTGCAGATAGTGCGGTCTGTGGGGTTGGTGCAGGCGGTGCGTTAGTGTCCATGTCGTGGGACAGCCGTGGGCCCGGTGGCGTCGGTGTCGGCGTCATGGCCGGTGATGGTGGTGGTGCATGCGTTGGCGCTTTGGGATGGGTTCGTTGCCAATCACGCGGCCAACATGCGGTACCGAGGTCACCTAATGCTCGCCCGTGGGACAGTGACGCTGGCGATATTGTTGAAGAGACTTACGATTGGTTGGTGGCGCAATGCCGGTTTACCGGAATTGGTCTGGGCGGGCACCAGCTGGCAGTGGTAACACGGACCCCGGCCCGCCGATGGGTCGCGTGGTAACCGGCGTTGGAGGTACGACCGCCCAATGGCTTGCGTTGGTGGCCGTCGACATGGACTCGGTCGGGGACGTGCTTGTAAGCAAGACAAACTTCTCGCCGTCTGAGGTCAACCTCATTTGGACAAAGGTGTGTCAGTACGTCATCCGCCATTGGAATGTCGACTCTGGACAAAGTCGGCGGTATCTGCTCGAGACCTGCTCCTGATGCTGTTCACGTCGTTAAAGCACTGCGGTACTTAGAAAGTAGTTGCGGCCGTATTCAAGCAAAAGCAGACGACCTTCGAGAAGCGCGTCATGTCCTTCCTGATCGTTCTCCACCTATACCTCATGCGAACGTTTGTCACAACTGTCTAGCAGAAGTGACCAATGCAGGCCTTGTGGAGTCGGGGTTTCGGTTCAAGAACTTCCCGGCTGCTCGGTACGCCATGGACGTCACGTTCCAGCAAACGAATGTACCGACCGGCGAATATGAAGAGAAGAAGCTGTACTTCAGCGGCAATCACTCCCTGTATGGACACGAGGTCGAAGTGTCCGTGGTACCGAATGGCTTCGCGATCGACTGCACTAAATTCTACAAGGGCAGCATGTCGGACAAGACAATCTTCAACGAGAACATCGACTCTCACCTGCCCAACTTGGCAAAGCGCACCGGCGAGACGACGCTTAAGGCCTCGGAGCTCGGCATGGAGCAATGCGCAGTTCTGACTGAAAAAGGCTACCAAGATATTCAGCACAACGTCCGGGTGGTGCTGCCGTTGAAGAAGGCGACAGGTGGCATGCTCACCTTTGCGGAGCAAGCGAAGAATGACCATATTGCCAGCGATCGTGTCATCGTTCAGAACTATTTGGTCGGTTGAAGAGCTCTTGGCCACATGTAGCGATACTACCGTTGGAGCCGCAAGAGCTACAACATCACGTTCCTAGGGTGTTTGGCCCTGACCAACCAACGTCCATGTCCGTCTCCACCCCCTGCGTGCAGAAGATGGTGATGCCAATGCCCAGTACATCAATCGACTCAACGCAAGCGGCACAAAGATCATCAACACGAAGAGAGCCGCTGGGAAGGCGTACATGTCAAAGAGAAAGGTGAGATTAAGTATGGTTTTGGCTTTGGAGAATACTTTTCTCGTGATTTGCCTGGAAGCGACACCGAACTTGGCTCTGACAATGAAAAGGGAACAGTAGTTTTATCATGTAATTCGGAATAAGGACAATTTAATTACTGGCTTAGGAATATTATAACAAATAGGGTTGGATAAATAACGGAAGATGGCGGGTATTTGTTGTTATATCTGCATTTTATATTTATTTATTATGGTACATGTACATGCACTATGTTATACACATATCCGCATTTCATATTATTTTACTTATTAAGTACTTTTTGTATGCAACTGTAATTTTAATACATACGTGTAGTTTGTATACCCATAATAGAAATAGTATAATATAATGCGTCCTAAATATTCAGGATATAAAACCGGCAACTTGGTTGCCTTGTCGACACCTTGCAGGACAAGTTAACACATTCAAGCCATGCCAACACTGTGGCAGCCTCGCTGGAGGTCAAGTTGATTTCTGGTAACATGGGAAGCTAATGATTACTTGTTAATTTGCGCAAAATGCATTTGAGCCAAAAGCAAATATGACCATTCTTGTTGGACAGAGTAGTACGTATTAATATATAGTAGATCTCAGCTCCATTAAAATAACCTTTATTAGGATTAATGTTCAAAACTTAAAATATTAATATCTTGTGAGATGCAATTGAAAATGAAAGAAAAACTGACCATAAACAGGCTATTGAAGTTTTAAAACTTTCTAAATACATTCAATTGATTTCACGAGGTACAATTGAAAGCATAATTAATTGTTGCAAATCCTCGTCAGTCTAATCCTCTCAAAATGTATATTTGCATGTTACCTTAGCCACTGGCCCACCCGACGCCCGCGACCACTGTTAACGTGTAACTATTAATGCTATATCGTCCTACGGGAATAAAACTGATAAGAGCCGAAAGATGAGCCCCGCCTCGATTGTACAGAGAGCCGGGAAAAAGTGCGACCGGGAACACAACTCTTAATATATGGGAACCGTTACAACATATAAGACAGAAACGACACAAAACCGACAAAATTCGACCGCGTGATTGGATTACCGACAAATGATTAAACTCAGATTGGTCAGTATTTTTTCCGAAAATCCTATTGGATGAGGCGGTATTCATAGCAGCAACATATCACAAACCTTTTTCTATTGGTGGAAATACTGTCAAGCCGACATTGCACGTCGACCCCAGTCTCCACTGTCAGTTCTTCTTCAGTGACAACGGCAGACACAGGTCGTCTCCATAGAAAGTGTGCAGCGTTGGAACCACGAACCTGTTCGAACACCAATCTTGACGTTCCCGTGACCTTCACAAGCACGGCATCATTATCGCTTCTTCGCCGCATCAAACGCCGCTGCATAGGGGCACTTAGGACACGTCATAGCGTTGGGTGATATACCAACGTCCATACACCAGGCCACACATGTTATTCGTCGACAGTGGCCTTCAGGACAGAGCACCTCGAAAAGTCCGCGACGTCCGACATGTCAAAGAGCTCGACTTCAGCATGGGCGGCATCGACAGACACCTGGGGGGCCGACCATCTGCTCCCTTGGGTGGGTCGACGTCAACCATTTGAATGTGAGGTGTGAAGTGTGCTAGCCAGTCAACTTAACTTCCGCCCATAATAGAAATAGTATAATAAAATAAGTTCTAAATATTCAGGATGAAAAACCTCCAACTTTGCAGGACAAGTTAACACATTCAAGCCATGCGAACACTATGGCGACCTTACTACATATCAAGTTGAACTCTGGTAACATGTGAAGCTATTGTGCTTTCCGGTTAAACTAGCCAACTGTAAGCCATTGTGAAAGTCGCCAACAAACAGCCGCGATGATATGATTGGATAGAATTTCTAAGATTTGGGCAGAAATTGGACATCAAACTCAGTTTTCCACAACTGCATGGGCAGTACGACGATGTGTAGTCCCACGTTGCGGTAGCGCGGGCGTCTAGTTGGTGTAATTGAGATGTATGTGTGTACATTCGGTGTGCGTGTGTGCTGGGGATACGGAGAGACTCGCATACGAGGCCTACGCGCATCAGGTGTTAATGCGGCAAGATCGGATCGTCCATTGACTCAGCCCAGGAAAGTGCATAATAATAGGGTGATAATTATCGATTGTTTTGTGAGGAAAATCCGACTTTTTGTCATTGGGGTCATTTCGCGGACATTCGGATCGGGGCGATTTAAGAATTCCCATATAGTCCTGCGGGGGGTAAAACCGATATGAGCCCGTTTTTCACGAATCTACCGATGAATATGATCAGATTAGAATCCCATTTAGCATTTAGTGTTTGTATGCTCTAATTTTAGCCAATGAATTGCCTCAATTCACTCCTCCTACCCTATCTCATGGCGTACGCCGATTGGCTCCAATTCCCGCCCGGTGGTCGACCCAACGCCCTCGCGACGAATCATGGGTTGGGCCTAACGAAGCACCAGAGTTTGAAAAGAACAATATGTTGTATTGTGTTAAAATGAAAGAAACTTTTATTAGAGGACAGTTTGGTAAATGTTACCGGTGGACTTTTTAGTACAGTTACAAGGGACTACCAACAACCTGACGCTTCATCTTCATGAAGTGTGGGCGATGCTAGAGTGGGAGTACGGACAGTAATCTCTGAGTGCCATAAGTACCCGCTACAGCGAGTCCATCTCACTACCAACTAAACCGTTCAACAGTGTGATGGAGTTATGAAACGGATGTGTACTTTGCAGAACCAATTGAATGAACTTTCGCGAGGAAAATTAAGGGGGAGATAGCGATCTCGGATCACCAAATTTCGCAAGCACTAGTTGCCGCGTTTCCATCGGTGTATTTTGGGTAAAATGTGATTCAAATGCATGACGGGTTTAAGCTGTCTGTCATTGAAGCTAATGCTCAAGCAAATCTTAAGCAGCAAGAGTAGCAAACTGTCGAAGTGGACTGTGATGGGCGAAAGAAAGCGCCATACTGCCGTTAACCTAAGGTCGATGAGGTGAAGTAGACTAAAGTATCGTCCTACTCTGAATGCTTCTACTGCCATGGCAATGCGAATATCAATGGCACTAGCCACATGAAGGCAACCTGCCCCCTTCGTATTGGCGATGAGAAGAAAGGCAAGACACGCAAGAACTTCAACGACGGCGCTGACAAGCGTGGGGAGATTATTTTAAGGCCTCGAAAAATCCGGTTAAAGTATCCGGTTTTCTTTCGGGAGTCGGTCGCTTTGGTCGTGATATCCATCAACCTCGTCAACGGGGCAACTAGCTCGGTGTGCTGAGGGGTGTTCGCACGTATCCAACTCAGTTGCATACAGGAACTGCTCGGCGAGTGCGCTGCACCCTGGGCGGAAATATCTTTCCCGCACCAAATCGTCTAAGTTGTGTACAACGTACACTTGCCCGGAGAGGATAAAATATTGCCACATAAGAATTGCTGAGGACCACATAGGAATTGCTGAGAGCCACATAAGAATTGCTGAATCGCACATATTTTCTGCTGAAGGACACATGAGATTTGCTGAATTGAATATAGAGTATGTTACACAGCGAGATCCACTTCGGCAGACAGTGCGTTATGAGAATTTCTGGACACGTGTGACTATTAGCAATGTGATTGGTTAATTAAACTCACATATGAGGAAATCACGAAATACCTT